CCAAAACAATAGCGGCTGCCAGAAATTTCTCCGGTCAAACAAAAAGAACGAAAACCAACCGGCTCTTGCTTCCACCGTACATCGACGTTGCGCTTGCGCCATGGCCAGATCGGCCAGATCGCTTGCAGTTGAAGCAGTTGAAGGTTGAAGCAAAAACGAAACCAACTGCAATGTCACGTGTTCACATCGAAGACACGCTTTTTATATCCATTTTAACTGTTTTGAACGAATAATTGGACCCATGACTTTATTTGCGGTGTGTAAGAAACTATTATCAAGAGCCCTAAACTAAATGCAAACATGGGCGACATGAGGGAAGCCGCATTGCCATCGACCAGAAAATGGCGGCGAGCCACGGTAAGCGCGGGTTTCGCCAACGTCCCGCGACATGGCGTAATTGCTTTTGGTGCATATCTGTTTCTGAGACATGTTTCTTTCCGCGGCATTTGTCTCGACGGTCCTTTCTAAGTGTGTCCCCAGGCATTCCGGTGCTTCGATAGCCGGCAATGCCGCGGTCGTCGCCGGAGGCGATGCGTGTTATCGAGGTCGGCTACACGGTTATGCGTGTATGACCGAACCAAAACACGTTTTTTACAACCTCGCATGATATCTGAACGTATTATCCGTTACACATCGTGTAAATTTATGGTAATTTGTGTAAATAGCGTGTTTTTCACCCCAAATATTCACCAAATACACGGCACTTGCTAACAGTGTAGTTATAACATGGGAAGCAGAAATTACACAACCCGCAGCAACAAAAAGAGGGCTCCGGCAAGGTTGTCCACTGTCGCCTCTGCTCTTCATGATATATCTCGAGGAAATGGAAAAGAAATTATAGCAGAGCAACTCAGGTTTTGATGTGAGTTATATGGAAGGAGGGAGAAAGGTAAGACAGGTAATACCAGGACTGATGTATGCGGACGACATATTACTTATGGCAGATAACTAGGATATGTTACAGGAACTAGCCGGCATATGTGGAGAGGAAGGGGACATCTTGGGCATGAGCTTTAGTAGCGACAAATCTGGAGTAATAGTGTTTAATGATGAAAAGAGGGGACCCCTGCGGATACAAGACATTTTAATAGACCATGTAGAAAAATACAAATATCTGGGAGTCTGGTTCAATGAGGGAAAGAAATATCTAGAAGAACATGAGGAGAATATAATTAGAAAAGGGAAAAGAAATTCATCTATTATGAAGCTCAAGGCACTATGGAACTATAATAGATATGAAGTGGTCAGGGGTATATGGAAAGGAGTGATGGTACCTGGACTGTCTTTTGGCAATGGGGTGCTCTGCATGAAATCAGAGGTTCAATCAGGATTAGGAATTCGGCAAAGAAGCGTAGGCAGATTGGCACTGGGAGCACATGGAAACACACCAAATAAGGGAGTGCAGGGGGCATGGGCTGGTCGTCTTTTGAGAGCAGGGAAGCAATCAGTAAGTTGAAATTTGAACAAAGGTTGACTGAAATAGGTGATACGAGATGGGCACGTAAGGTGTACAAGTATTTATACATGAAAAGCATAAACACAAAATGGACAAACCGAACCCGAAAGCTTACATTTAAATACCTACTCACTAATGATGGGGCTGAGCAGACTACTTCAGTGAAGAAGGGAGTGAAAGAGGTAGAGAGGAAAATGTGGGAGGGAAGAATGCAGGAAAAATCGACTCTAACGGTGTACAGGTCACAAAAACAGGACATACGAAAGGAAAATGTGTTTGACAACTCGCTGGGAAGTTCTTTACTTTTCGAGGCGAGAACGGGAGTTTTGAGGACGAGGACGTATAGGGCTAAATTTCAGGAGATAGGCACATTATGCGCTGCATGCCATGATGAGAGTGAGACACTTGAGCACCTAGCTTTAAGGTGCACGAGGCTTCGTCCTGCCCCTCCTGAGGGTGTAACGGGTTTGGCCGGGGCCCCGGGCTTTGCTGGCGACGATGGAAGGACGGAGGAGAAGAGGATCACAATAACAAATAGGCGGTTAGAAGATTGGTGGAAATTATCTAGGGAAAATTGAATGATGCACAACTAACTAGCACAGCTAAGGACAGGCGAGACAGAGGAAAATTGGGACTCCCTCCCGCGTGGCTCAGGCCCAAAGTCTCAACCCTGTCCCCCAGTGGGTTGGGTGCAGGGGTAACGCCGACAAGGTTTGACCAGAGGAAAATTGGCGACTCCCTCGCCAGGGGGAAGAGGCGGGGGGGTGATGTTTTTAGTTTTTTTGCCCGATCCCCCAAAGGTCAGCCTGGTGATATCCCGCACTACCTGGTGATAGTAAGGGGGCGGGGGGGGGGGGGGGGGAGAAAATTGGCTTAGAAGGGCGGGGGAATCAAATGTTTTTCTTTATTAGACGTAGGCTAGGTGGCGCAAGCTACCGCCCGATACAAAGGGTATAGCCAGTAGCATCAACGAGGTAGAGGGGCTTAGAGCGATAAACCGGGGTTCCGGTCTGCACTCGAAAGTGACCCCCATAAGGAGGCTGCCATTGTACGCAAATTTGACCACACGTCACATGACCAAACCAAATACGTGACGTCACAGAAAAGATGGCAGCGCCCATGGAGCGGCTGGCCCCAGCTGGGCCGGAGCTTGTCGGATGCTTTGTTGGTTGTCGTTCGTCTCGGCGAGTTGATTTCAGACGCGGAAGCCGTCATATGAGGCCGGTCGAAAGCGAGTTCAGAGTTCAGCGTGGTGTTTGACGTAGGTATAACGTGAAAATACGGAGAAACGGTGTGCATTTCGCTGGTGACCGACCGGGATATTGCCACGGAAGAGACAATCTGACCTACGTTGCTCGGACCTCGGATTGATTCGGATACCGCTAGGATAAAATTTAAGGCGACGTTTCTGTGCTCTCGTTGACCATCGGAATCTTCGAGGTTTGCAGTGAAGCGTGTGCATATTTGGATACACAGTTTAGCGACGGAAATTGCCTGAGTCGTGCTTGGCGGTGTGCAATCGCGGTGCAGCTTCGATCAAATGACCGAGGGCTCACTTCGGTTGTGCGGCGCACCGGAAGACTGCCTTGAAGCTGGTAGTTCCCGTGCCGTGCTGAATGATGCTGTGCTGCTTACAAATTGTTCCGGCGTAGAAGTGCACTTTCACGGAGCACAGGTGTGCGGCGCACCGAAGAGCTGCCTTCAAGCTGGTAGTTCCTGTGCCATGTTTTAGGTGATGCTGTGCTGCTTCCAAAATTGTTCCGGCGTAGACGTGCACTTTCACGGAGCACAGGTGTTGCAGTTGGTATTGATCCCGCTGGTCTGTCGCACGTTTCGTCAACACAAACGTTTCATCCACACTCGTTACGCGAATTGCAAGCTGTCCGGACATTTCACCGAGCGTGTTACGTACCCAGCTCACGCCGCTTTGTGGCAACAGTCTGCAGTGGCTCATTACCAGAAAAGTGGTCCCACATCCATTTCAGTTCAGTTCGTCCACGGCAGTCGCCAAACCCCGAAGGAGAGGATTTATTCGGACAGAATGCCACTAAAGCAATGCAGCTTCTTCAGTGGTCAGGATAGATTCTCTTCTGCTAGTTTTGTTATACTGTCACGGATCCTTGTTCCAGTCCTATCTTCTACCAATATTCACTATTCTGGGACACTGCAGGTCATGCTCAGCTGTAATCGTATGTTCAGGTGGAGGTACTGGGCACTTTACCCGTAGCCCTTCACTCTGTGTGAACCCGGCGGCTCTTCAGCCGAGTTACCCGATAAT